GAGTAATTTAATGCCATCTGAAATACATAGCATTAATACAAGATTTTAAGTTAGTCCAGGTGGCTGCAGATCAAGAATACCAGACAAAACTCAGCCAACTCTTTCCATAAAAGATCTCTTTCTTTCATGGGTAATCAAGCTCACCTTGTCAGTTGTGCAATACGCTTGCCCCTGAAAACCATCTCCTTTTCAAAGAAATTAGGAGCATCTTGACTCAAGGGTGTCAGCAAGGAGCGAGGCTGGTGGTGCCCTGATGGCCCTAGCAGGAGGCTGCTGGGAGTAGGACATCCTCTCCTCTCCTTAACCACAGGGGACACCATCAGCACTAATGGGGGTCTGCTGTAGTCTGGAAACCAGCAGATGCTTTGAAAGGGAGCACTTACAGGGAAGGTGGGAGTGTTTTAATTCCCCCTGAGGGTACTAAGAGAGAGCACAAGGTTAGTTTTGTGTACTAACTAGTTCTGCACAAAATTTTTGCTATGAAAATTAAAATGGGTTTTACTCTTAACAGTACACACTTGTTTTCAAAGTACCCTTTGCTTCAGCTCCCCTCAGCTGAAAAAGCAATGTGGGAAAGGGGCTACAGTAGGAAGAAAAGTGTGTGTGTGTGATGTAAAACAGTGTCTGCTTCTGAAGGGGAAAAATACACTTAGAGAAATATAAGATTTAAGAGAACAAGGAAGTGAAGGGTATCTGCTTCAATTGTTTGGCCATGCCCTGGTAAGACAAAATGGATGTATTAAATCCAAACCTAACTAGTGTTGTACTCCTTAAGTGGTTTCTTTTGTTTGAGTATTTTAAAATCATTGTAATCTATTGATAATGTGGGCATAAAACCGTTGCAATATAAAAAAAAAAAATGGGGGAGGTATTTTTTAGAAATACTTTAATGCTGACTTTGTACAATGTTTGTTGTTTATCCATCAAACATTCTAAATAAAAACTAGAACATTAATGTGCAAATAATATTATATTCAGAAATTGCTGGGAGTTCTCCATGAAGAGTGCTATAGGGACATCATGTTAATAAACAGCTTCAGTTTGTAAATGCGAGCACAAAGCACAGTAAAAAGACAAACAAGCACTTGAAGGCATAGGAGCACATGGGGGGGCAAAAATAATGTTATTCTTTTCAATAACAATATAAGCTCCAAAATGACAAAAGTGTCTAAAAAAATGGTCGACTCTCATCTGCAACCATGTTCTCGAAAATGTTTTCATTTTATCAGCATTGTTTGCTGATGATAACAACAGGGCTTGTGAACAGTTTTCCTTGAAAAAACGTTTGGATTTCTTTTAACATAACCTTAACTTTGGGGTTTTAAGACTTAATTTAGGAGTAATTCAAGCATCCTTCATTCTTGGAATAGTTACAGTGCTTTCTGTTCTAAACATATTAATATATTCAAATTTAACTAGCTCCTTTATCACACCAGTGAGGATACAAATTAAAAGAAATACTGTTTTTTCCAGTTCATGACCTAAAGTATTTCCTCTTTACGTAGAGACATGTTAAAAATAAAATCTCCAGACAAATAACATCTCAAGTTTGACCTACTGCATATGTTTGTGATACTTTCCTGAATTGCCCAATGCAAATGCCTAAAGGGCAGAAATTAAGGTTGTAAGGGCAGTCTTTGATCAGGCATCTCCTAATGCTGGAGTTTTGACTTCATAATGGTAAAGGTAGGATTTCTGTATAATTCTGCAAATGTAATTTACCTTTTTACATTCTAATGTAAGATGAGATTTTTACGTTCTAATTTGTGAGGTAACTACCTATCAGTGGGGGAAAATGCGAAAGATTGGATGTAAAGGAAATACTGTGTTTTCAAAAGAAAACAAATGAATTGCTAATGTCTTTCTGGCTTCAGATCATATCACAATTCAGTAATAAAATCTCAGAATATACACACAAGGGAGGTACAAAAAAGATAAATAAGCTATAAAGCTCTTGGAAATTTCTTAGATAATATCAAGGCTAAAACTGTCTAAACATAATTTAATCTTATAATACTAATTATTCAGTAAGTTGTACTGAATTTTCAACTCAAGATTAGCCTTTTTAATGTATGTGTTAAATTTTTGTTATAATGCTTAGGCTTTCATGCATACAATTTAATAGTGCCCTGGCCAAACAGAAGGTGAATATTTTGTTATTCAGTAAATTGTAAAAATAGAAACTATAGTTAATGTGTTAAAGCTTCTTTTGACAAGATTGATGTCAAAAGCAGTCAAAACCACAAACCATTCTTAGGACTTCTGAACAGAATAGCTAAATTCCATTCTGATAATATTATTGTCTTCTGAAAGTGGTGTTTGCCTGCAAAGCCGGTCGGTTGTGTCAAGCCTGAATAACACTTTGAGCAATATTTTAACACATCTTCATTTCAGCAGATTCTTCTCTAGCATTCTCAATCTGCTACATGCAGAGCAAGTTTATACTTTTCTGGCAGGATAAGTCAAACAATTTGTTTGGGGAAAGTTCCAGGGTTTGTTGGGGTTTTTTTGTCTTCCTCTAAAATGCCTGTTATCTCTCTAGTCTGGAAAAAAAACAAAACAAAACAAAACAAAACAAACAAGCTAAAAAACCCAGTCATCACCACCCCTTTTGTTGTGGTTTGGCAATTAAGTTTTGGTTTTTGTCAAGTATAAATTTTAGGTTGATTAGCCTTTCCAGTGGTGTATTTCAAAGCAAAATTAATAGAAATAAATACACTGTTAGGAGACTGTGTAGGAGGCTAGTTTTGGTAGCAGCACTGGTCCCCTCTAGATGGGTAAACTGGCTACAGTCTCACTCACCACGGCAAACATAACCCCATGACACAAAGAAGTCATATCTCCTTTGTTAGGAGACCCTTATTTGCTCCTTTGGTCTTTCTGCAGCCATGCAGATTAGATGAAATAACTGCTCTGATATTTGTAAACTTCAGACATCAATTTAACATCAGTTAGATGAAGGTAAGTGGCATTTCAATGAATCATTTGGGACATTAGGTTTTCAGTTTGAAAGAAAGCGAAACTTAACCCGTTTCACTGATTGCTATGTTGTTTTGAGGTAATACTCTCTCAGGGTCATTCTAAACCGAGTTCAGGTTCATCACAAGATCCTGCAAATTCATCAGCTTTTTCACCAACCTAATCAAAAATATCATGTTGTAATAAAAAGTAAAATACACAGTTTTCCTGGGTTTGGTCTTCGTTATAAACGTTGTTCATAACTCTGCTATGGACTGAAAGGCTTGTATGTCTGCTTAAGACTTAGTTAACTAGCCTTCATCACCTCTGTCTTCACATAAAGACCATGTAGACCATGTTTTATACGACTATTTTATCTATACAGGTCCTTTAATTCTATCAAGAATCATTTAATTCGTGTTTTGCAATATCCTTGAAGCAGTCTATAAAAAAACCTGTTAACAGAATCCTAACAAACTAGAGAAGTCACTATATAGCCTGAAAAACAGTTTAATGACTTTCAAAAAGTTGTTTGGGGCAATTATATTACCTCCTTCTTGAAAACAATGAAATAATTATAACATCTCTGTTTCTGTTTCTTGAGAAGGATTTATAAAAATACTATTTTAAGTGAGTTAATAAAACTTCCTATTTTCTAAATTCCTGTTGTGAAATTCCATACAGGAACCAGTGTTTTCATATTTCTGAATTTTGAGGCAGGTTAATTGACTAACACTTCTGTTAACTCTCTATATAAAGGGAAAAGAGAGGGAAGAATCATGCCCAGTTCTGGGCTCCTCAGTTCAAGAAGGACAGGGAACTGCTTGAAAGAGCCCAGCACAGAGCCACAAAGATGATTGAGGGGGTGGAGCATCTCCCTTATGACGAAGGGCTGAGGGAGCTGGGTCTCTTTAGCTTGGATAAGAGGAGACTGAGGAGTGACCTCATTAATGTTTATAAATACATAAAGGGCGAGTGTCAGGAGGATGGAGCCAGGCTCTTCTTGGTGATGGCCAATGACAGGACAAGGGGTAACGGATGCAAGCTGGAGCAGAGGAGGTTCCATGTTAACATAAGGAAAAACTTTTTCACTGGGAGGGTGACAGAGCACTGGGACAGGCTGCCCAGCGAGGCTGTGGATTGTCCTTCTTTGGAGACATTCAAAACCCACCTGGACGCATTCCTGTGTGATCTACTCTAGGTGGTCCTGCTCTGGCAGGGGGGTTGGACTAGATGATCTTTCAAGGTTCCTTCCAACTCCTAAGATTCTGTGATTCTGTGAATCCTTGAGAGCATCATATAGTCCATCTAACTGAAGATCTCACTTGGAGTTGCTCTTTTGAAGATCTTCTCTGTCTCCATTTGCTACAAACAGAGTATAGGGAAATAAGGTGCATAAAGTAGTTGTTTAAGGCTGTGATGTGAATACCCCTCATCCTTCTCTTTCCAGTCAGGGGATCTGCGATGCTGCATTTACTGTAATGTTAACATATCTCATGAATATCAAGAATTTCCAACCAAGACAGAAATCTCTACCAAGAATTGACAAAACATAGTTACACTGATAAGTGCCACAAAGAAGAGTACTTGTTGTTATCCTCAGCTAGAAAATGGCTTCTTTGAACTTCCTTCTCTCTCATTTCAGTCATTCACTAACCTTCATCATTTGTATTTGTACAATCAAATTAATTAACTTGGGGTGAATATTTAGAGGAGTGTTTAGAATCAGCAGCTCTTTAAAAGACTATATGTATAACGGAAATGGTAATGATGTATTTGTACGAAAAGATTGTGCTTTTTTAAAAATTTAATTTCTATAATGCGTGTATATTAAATATTAATATAAAATGTTTTCTCAGCAGTAAGTCAATGCTCAGTGAATTGATTACACAAAACAGTCTTTTTCCAAAAAAAAGACATTTTTCTGTTTATTATACAGTATACTTTCATGCCAAATTAAGAAACAGAACTTTTTAAATTTAAGCTTATTCTTTCAAAGTACGTCAATTTCAGATTTACCTATTGTAAGTTCTCTTCCTTAGGAAATAACAGAAGATCGGGATCAATCACGACTGGATTCAATGGTGCTGTTAATTATGAAACTGGACCAGCTTGACCAGGATATTGAAAATGCTCTCAGTGCAGGCTCTTCCCCATCCAGCACCCCAACATACAAACGGAGGCATATACCTGTAAGCCAATTTGCTTAATTATTCTTATTATTCTAAATAGAATCTTGTTTTACTTCACCTTTTTTTTCTTTCTAGTCCTTACATTTATCAGCTCTTTGGTTTCAGAACTAAAGCTCTTTTTGTAAAGATTTGTCTTCTATTTTTGTTTGTATTTATATATGTTTTGAAGGTAGTAATATTGACATCCATTATTTCCTTTTGGCATCATTTCATAAATGAGAGCTTCAGAGCTCCCAGATGAAAGAAATGGAGATCAACAAGATTCAGAAAATGTCTGGCTTTGTAATTATCACTTACAGTATATGTACAGTCAGTACAGAGTGAGGATCACACCAGTCTTGGAGCGTACGTGTATGTGTCATTTCACATTAAAACTGAAAGTAAGTCTGAGCTATAGGTCTTTTCTTCTGCTAGTGGGAGGGTCTGTGAAATTCTTGGCAGACACACTTTTGAAATCTTCTGTCATTCAAAATAATATTCTGGACACAAGTCTGCACTCTAACTATTTAAACTTCTTTAATTATTTATTTCAATGCAAGAATTCCTTGCTGAGAATAGTCTGAAAGGAGACTGGACAGCTCACAAACATGATTTATGCATTCTTTTTTTCTGAAAAATATTTACATATAACTATGAAGAACATGAAATGGCTGACCCAAGGTATACTTGTGCAGGCTTCCTGTTAATTTCACCCACATGTGCTGTAGCTGTTTTTCAATTTAAGAAACCTGAGAAATACTGCCCCAAGATCTCTAGGCTAACATTCAGGCCATTTGTTTTTGTTAGTGGTATTTTCTTTTAAATAATCAGGGTTTTTTCCTATTAAAACCAGACTTTATTATTGCTGTATAGTCGAGTGTATGTGAGAAAAGCTGTATTTAAGTTTCGGTGGGTTTGGTCAGCTGAAGATTATATAATAGATCATTTTTATAGGACACAACATAGCTACACTTTTAATAGTTGAACGTTTCCCCCCTGGATATCAATGTCCTCACAGTGTCTTCTTGAGCACTGATCGCAACAGGAAAGCCGAAATACAATGTTAACATCTGTTCTCTGTATCTCACCAATCTGTGCCAGCATTTTAGCTAATTTCTTACAGCAATAAAGGGAGTGGATGCAATCTGTATAAGTAAGTCTGCAAGATAATCAGAGGTAGTACCTGTTTCCATATTGCAAAGCAACCCTCCAGAAAGATAGCTTGCATCAAACATGGTATATATGCTCTTTATACACACTGATTTTACAGGAATTTTTGAGCCTTTGAGTATTACAAATCAGAGGATCAAAAGATTAGGTTTTCAGGACATTTATGCATTGTGTTCAGTCTCATATTGATTTTATAGTAATGAAGCACTTGAATGTCATGCAAAAACATGAGTAACAGAGCAAGGAATACTGTTCTGCACTGTGGCAGCATGGCTCTGCTAAGCAACTGTACCCAAGCTGACTTCTACAGAGGCATTTCCATGGTCTGCTGCGTTTTTCAATGTTTCACATTGCAGAGGACTCACTGGTAGGAAATATCTGACTCAAATGCATGGTCCTACTTAGAGTGCATCTTTGTCTGCAATTCTTAACACTTTTCAGAAAACAGCACACTTGCATACTTGGTGTAGAGGCACCTGTCTAATCAAAGAATCACAGAATGGTAGGGGTTGGAAGGGACCTTTGGAGATCATCTAGTCAACCCCATTCTAAGTTCACCTACATCACGTTGCACAGGACAGTGTCCAGGCAGGTCTTCAATATCTCCAGAGAAGGAGACTCCACAGTCTCTCTGGGCAGCCTGTTCCAGTGCTCTGTCACCCTTAACGGAAAGAAGTTTTTCGTCATGTTCAGACAGAACTTCCTGTGCTTCAGTTTGTGCCCGTTGCCCCTTGTCCTGTCTCTGGGCACCACTGAAAAGAGCCTGGCCCCATCCTCTTGGCACCTACCCTTTACATATTTGTAAGTGCTGACAAGGTCCCCTCTCAGTCTTCTCCAGGCTAAAGAGCCCCAGGTCTCTCAGCCTTTCCTCATAGGAGATGCTCCAGTCCCCTCATCATCTTCATAGCCCTGCGCTGGACTCTCTCCAGTAGTTGCTTGTCCCTCTTGGACTAGGGAGCCCAGAATTGGACACAGGAGTCCAGATGTGGCCTCACCAGGGCAGAGTAGAGGGGGAGGAGAACCTCCCTTGACCTGCAGGCCACACTCTTCTTAATGCACCCCAGGGTACCATTGGCCTTCTTGGCCACAAGGGCACACTGCCAGCTTATGGTTAACCTGTTGTCCACCAGGACTCCCAGGTCCTTCTCCACAGAGCTGCTCTCCAGCAGGTCAGCTCCTAGCCTGTACTGGTGCATGGGGTTATTCTTCCCCAGATGCAGGACCCTACACTTGCCCTTGTTGAACCTCATTAGGTTCCTCTCTGCCCAACTTTCCAGCCTACCCAGATCTCGCTGAATGGCAGCACAGCCTTCTGGCGTGTCAGCCTCCCAGTTTTGTATCATCCACAAACTAGATGAGGGTGCACTCTGTCCCTTCATCCAGGTTGTTGATGAATATGTTTAAGGAGACCAGATCCAGTACTGACCCCTGGGGAACACTGCTAGCCACAGGCTTTCAACTAGACTCAGCACCATGGATCACAACCCTCTGAGCTCTGTCCTTCAGCCAGTTCTCAACCCACCTCACAGTCCACTTGTCTATCCTATGAGGGAGAGAGTGTCAAAAACCTTGCTGAAGCCAAGGTCCATCGCTCTCCTCTTATTTACCCAGCCAGTCATGCCACCATAGAAGGCTATCAGACTGGCAGCTTCAGTTTGGAACACCACAGGCTTAACTGGAATTAACGAATCAAAGGGTTGTCATTTCTTTCCAGTTCAGGAAGAGAACCCCTGAGATGTCTCTGTCCCATTTTTCACCTATTCTAGGAACTGGTATTAGGAAACTGAGCCTTTGTCTGCACAGAGTTGGCTGGGGTTAATAGTTCAGGCTTTTTTCTGTGTACTGTGTAGCTATATTCATGCAGTCTGCAACTCAGCTAATAATCCTGACAGTATATGGCTGGTTCTACACATAGCCAGCTCTTTGCCAGACATGTGTCACAATTTATCTGAAAGCAGTATAATTCCCTGCCCTCACTCTATGCAGTAAATGAAGCATGTACTATATTTTTACTTCCTCAACAATAAAACATACTATATTTCTTCTCTTTTTATTCTCAAAAGAGGAATGTAATCAGTGTCATTAAAAGTAAGGGCATTTTAATCAGAAATAACATTTGGCTGATAAGTGTCTGCTGATTCCAAAAAACTAGGGAGCTGCACCTCTAAATTGTATAAACTGCTGGATGGTGATGTCATTTCAGCTGTGTAATGGTTTACAGATGTTCACTGTGCTTGCAATGCTGCTGGAAAGAGAAGGTGGGAGCACACAGGAAATACTAAACATCAGAGAAAAATGTCAGAATTCCGCAGTCCTGAACTGATTTTTCTTACCTTGCATTCTAACATTTAGAGGAATTATAGCTTTCAAGTTAGTGGTGATTTATAATTTCAGAACAGCAGCTAATGCAAACCACTACACTGAAAAGACAGCAAGTGAATGTGTAGGTAGTGGAAAAGAACAAGGGGAATTACTTTACACAGAGAATTAAGCATATGTATTTGAGTGAGCCTGTCTAAATACTTCCATTATTTAGAAGAACTAGATTTTTATTTCATATTCACATTTACTAAAGAGACCTGCAATGTTTTTTTACAGGATGTTGAATCTGGTTCTGAAAGTGGAGTGGATGTTGCTTCAGTAAGTCACTCACAAACAAACTTGTCTCCTAACATCCGTACTTCTGACCTAGCATCTTCCTGTTTGGTAGCCAGCTCTGGAGCTAAACCAAAGGCTGGGGTGAGTACAAAGATTGTATTTTCTTAACCTCACTCATTATATCAGGTTTGAAGTGAAATAAAGATATTTTGTACTATTCATTACGTGGATTGTACAACAGTATATGAGACACTGAAAAAAAAGGACTAATAGTGCAGGTTGTCTCAAGGCAACATTTGAGTGGTAAACAATCTAGAAGCACACTGTTATTTGCTGATGATTATAATAAGCTGAGTTTTTATGTGAGAAAATAAATTAAAGGAACTATTCCATTTCACTAAGGTTTCCTGAAGTGGTATCACTTGGAACATTTCCTAAATCTCATGGAGGATGCAGCCAGAGAAAAAGATGGTTGAATAATGTAGCCTGATTTATGACGCCCAAACCCAGCCACCCAAGTCCTCTTGAGAGGCTAAATTGTTGTATACTGCAAACAGAGGTATTACCCTGCTGAAGGGAGAACGTAATTCTAAGGCCAAATTTGGCAGGTGGTTTCATGCGCTGAGGGTCGGAGGGAAGCCTCTGAGCCAGCAGACCCTTTCCTGCAAGCGCAAATGCATACTAGGTGGTGAGGAAGGGCAGGTCTGAGAGCTCAGATATGACAAGGAGCCTCCTTCTATATCCATTCATAAATACATCTAGCTATCAGGAGCATAGTCCTTTCTTTTTGCCGTTGTCCATCTACTGAAGAATTCTTCTTCATAGTGCTTCAGCCCTCAGCATGCACAGAAAAATTTGGGTGTCCTAGAAACTCCTGACATACATTCTGTTCCCTCTTGCACTTGCCATTTCCACTCCTTCAAGAAGCACAGAAATCTAGACTCTTCTAAACTTTCCCTAGGCTGAAAAGTCTTAGCATAACTCTTGCTCCATCTGTTCACAAATTCAACCGCTGCTGGTAACCAGACCAGCAGTAAATCTGGGATAAAAATATTAAAATACAAAGTGTGGTTAGCATAAATATATATGTTCATAGCAAGTTTATAAAAAGTAAAATAGAGGCCAACTGTCATTTACTGCACTGCAATAACAGCAAGTCTACTAATGCCTTCGATTGAGGCAGTAACAAAAGTTCTAATAAACATTTACATTCAGGATTGTTCACTTGTACAAAAATAAATTCACGTGTAATTTATCATCAGTGCATAACAATAGCAAATAGAGAGCTCTGCACTCTGTCATTGAGTACAATGCAGTGCAAATTCTCAAATAAGTACATATGTTATGCTAGATGGTGATATTCCATTTTGCCAGATCCTTAGAAGAGCACAGACACCCTCTAAGGTATTAAATATCCCTTTTAAATTTAGATTTCTCTGCTAATATTCGGGGAACTCTTAACACCTGGCTTTGCAGAAGAGTGGGTCACTTCCTTTGGACTTAGATTTTGTGTTAATTCACCTTCAATAAGTATTTATTTGAGTTTTGCTGGAATGGTTATATCTTGCTGAACATATTTGCGAATATTGCTTTATTATATAGTTTTTAATGTATATTATTTTGCAGAGATCCTTTTTTTTTTAATTTGTAGAGTAACCGTGAATATGCAAAAAATCTCTGCTGATGCGTGGATTGTAGGGGTACAATTTTTTATAAGTGAAGCTGATTTTTCTCCAAACTCAACTTTCTTTCCTAAAGTTTTTGCATGCTGCAACTCACCACACTCTATAATAGCATTTGGGGATGGGCTTTTTTTAGTAAGTATGTTCCAAGACCATATATTCATTTTTATTATAATAGGTTTGATAAGTACAAAAATGTGGATCATTTTTGATTGAGTGTAGGTGTCATGCAAATTGGGAAAAAACAGATCCTCTCAGATATTTTTTTTATTCCTTTTGTCTTTGGGCTTTCTGATTGTTTTGACCATGTGCCCTTCTGATCCACAAACTGAGTACTAATGTGTGTTGTAGCTTCAACTGTTCAAAACTTCAGCTGCCTCCCCACCTGCAGTGAAACTTTATTTGAAAGCATAAGTTTTCTTGGACACACTAGGAGAAAATAACCCTTCCTTCTTACCCTTGTGTATCTCTACTCATGTTGTTCATGTGGTCTGCATGGCTAGACAGCCTGCTGCTAGAAGCTTGACTGCAAACCCATACTAGTAGAAAAGAAGTTCCTCTATTCTTCTTGTTGTGTTTAGTACTGGGCTCTACTCAGGATGAATTTTCAAAAATGGTATATTGAATGGCATGTCCTTGAAACACTGCCCAGAACAGACGTCAGGGATGTCTTTGTACAGATAATTTCCATGTAGAGATCTCCTATGAAAACCCTCAAAGTGTGGTGTTCTGTGTGTAAGGGAGGCTGCTCTCATAGTTTCTTTTGGTTTTTTGTCAGACTAGCTGGTGTAGGAATAAGTTTATTCTTCACCGGAAACTCAGCAAGCTACTTTTTAATGGCGATGGACTGTTTCAGAGATTTTACTTCCTTTTTGGTGTTTGCAGCTGCAGATCTTCAAAGATTCCAGATGCTTAGGCTCCACAGACAACTTATTTTGTTGTGTTTATTAATGATATGTAAATAGGAGTACAACTGCAATTAGTTACATTATGGAATGATATGTGGTATTTTTAAACAAAATATAGCAAACTGTTGACTACATGAAAATTACACTGTACGATTAAAATATGACACCATGTGCAGTCTGGGGGGGGGGGGGGTGGGAATAACAGGGCAGGGAGATATGGGTTCAAGTCTAGTCCCTGATAACTTGTAAAAGATATTAACTACACAAGAACTTATCTTTCAGACAGTTAGTCTGTATACAAATTTCCTATGTCTATTCATGTTAACTCAGCTTTATATGAATTTAAAACAAAATTTTTTATGGATTTAAACAAAAAATGTCTAACAATGTCACAATGTGCCAGAATATCCTTAAGCAGAATTTGGTTTGATAATCCTAGTGGAAATGATTCACTCATTGGCTTATGGAAAAGCAGGATATTTTAAATTTTGACAGGCAGATTTTATGGAATGTTAATCAAGATTTCCAATAGCAGAGATATCCGGAATTGTATTAAAAATTCAGTACAAATTATAATTTTCTTCACAAATTAATAGTAGATGTTCTTTTAAAGAAAATTGGAGGGGGTATATACATACACAAGTTATTTAATATTCCATAAAAATTCACTTATGGATAGTCAAATCCATTCTCATCAGTGCAAATGCCTGTGTACAGTACACATCTATATAAGCACACACATGCACGCACACACACACAGAGTGCTCCTCACTGAATACAGGCATGACAAGGAACAGGATTCTCCCCAGAGCGTCACAGAAAGGTATTTCTATGAGGTTCTAAGGTTTTTCTGTGATTCTGCAGGTCACAGTGTGAAAGCCTTTGATATGCAGATGCATGTGGCATTTTGGGCTTATGAGAAGTACACAATCGAATAATCTTCATCCTAAATTTAGGATGCTCCCATTGTATTTCGTTGTCAGACTAGAACAGCATAATGTGACCAACAGTGTATTTAGTCCACAGTATAACAACTAACTCAAAATGTACATGTTTGGCAAGGTGCACAGATGGGTAATCATTGTGAAATAAGGGTTCACATGATTGAACAGATACACTTCAATCCTAATTTAGGATTGGATAGTAAGAAATGTTTTTGGTATCTTTATATTACTTATGTTTACAGAGTAAAGAATGTTCATGCTTCTATAATTAGCACATCTCTCTGTTCTGGGGTTTTATTCATCAGTGTCCAAAATAGACAATGATTTTTGAATATTAACACTTGAGGATATACACTGGGCAAGCATTAATCACTTGAGAGTTGAAAACAGCTCAAAAAACCCGAAATCAACAGGCTTTTGTCCCAATGGTTATGAGAAACACTGGAAAATGGGAGTGTCTGGTCTGGATTTGAAGAGCGAGGAATGTAAATATGCTACATGTCGTTACCTTCTACAAACTAATGCCGCACATCTGGACACTTATAACATCGTTCAACAATAAAGACCAGAAATTATTTACTTTTAAATTTGGGTTGCTTATTATAAAAAAAGTATGTAGCTACAGAATTTAAAATGTATTTTAATAACAAAAAGTACACAATAGCCTTCTCCACCCCTCTAAAAGCTAACTAGTTGAGGAAAGCTTATCAGTTATCATTGTCTTTTTTCTTTTTTTCCTAAATATAAAAAATTGGCTAAAGAAGAATAGCAGCTAAGGCCTAAAAGTTGTGGCCAAATTTTTGTCCTTGAACATCTGCTCTCTAAAGCCTGTCTATTTTCTGTTCAGGTGAAGAAAAGCAGCCGTGATTATTTTCTACTGCTTTTCTTGGCAGTCCTATCCCTCTTGCTTCAACAGTGTCTGACTTAGCCTTAATCATACTGTGCAAAGGTAATCAGAAGTCTGTTATCACCAGAATGGCTGGTGTATAGGAGAAGACTGTTTTTCAGATTAGCTGTAATGACTTGTTTAAAATGCATTCATTTCTCAAAGTGATTTTAGGCACCAGTTATACCTGCAGTACAAAATGACCTAGTCTAGCTACACACTAGGATGGGATTCGGGTGCAGCTACTGATTTCAGTGAAGCCCTGGATGAGCTCAGAAGTCTACTTTCACAAATCTTGTTATTGGATTCAGACAAAAGGTTGTATTATTTAGATGACAGTTTTGCAAACTGTTCATTTGTAAGTTCTAATAACATTTAGTCTTTCACATATGCTTTTCATTCATACTGTATTTTAAAATTTCAGCTAGAGAAAGCCAAATCATTCCATGAAGAATAATTTATAGATTTGTAGATTAAGAAAGAGTTCAAGCTTCTTGCTACTTTACTACACTGTTTTTTAACTTACAAAAGAAGCTGAAATTTATGGTAAGTACAAGGAAACCTTGATTTCAGAATTAAATATTCATCAAAAAGAATTATCAGGGCAGCAACTGTTTGAAATGTTTACATTTTCCACTGCATCGTGTTTTTTAGTAAATTCAATGAAGTATGAGATATGCAAACACACACAGAATATGCCAATGAATTTGTGCAGACAGAT